GGGATTTGAAATGTGAATGTTTATCATTTTTGAAACAAGTGTTTTTCTGGACAGGAACTGAACAGGGAATGCAAATAAACTTTAATGTTTTAGATGCAAAATATTCAAGTAGGCCTGTCACGATAACACATTTTGCTGGGCAGTTAATTGTCTCGGAAATTATTGCGATAAATTATAATATTGTTCGAAATTTGACAATAATTAGTAATTATTGTCAAATTTAAGAAGAAATGTTGGTTAATTTATTTTGTGTGTAGTACCTTTTTGGACCATTGGATGACAGTATAAGACTGTTTGAACTGAAGGATGGATAGTGAGGGAGCGAGCAGTGTGTCTCTTTAAGAAAAATAAGACGAAGGCCCCTCGACATGACATGGGCTGTCTCTCCTTCCTTTTTTCAGTTCTCAAAATGGCAGACGCTTGGTGTGGTTTGAGCTCTTTAGCCTAGCATTTGTCACACAAAGCTTTTAATAAAAAATCAGTAAACAAGTTCGCAGCTTCTTTTTGCAGAGAAAAACAACTTTTTACACGAAGACACGGGTTTCAACCGTGAATTTTGGAGCTTTGACAAGACGGACGTTTTTTCCCGAGGTCAGTCTGTTAGCTTAGCTCATAGCTTATCTTCTCAGCTTAGCTGCTTTTAATGATCTAAAAATGTGATTTGACGGTTCAAACAGATTTTAAAGAGAAAAGAGAAAGGGAGGGGGTCATTGAATAACACCAGAGTTGAGCCTTTTGTCATCCAGTGTCTTCAAGAGAGAGACAGGAAGAAACAATAACGCCGATAAATGAAAATGAGGTTGATAATATTAATTTATCATGCGATTAATTGATTTATTGTTTATCGCCACAGGCCTATATTCAAGTGAGGAGTTACACTGTGGAGAACAGAGATTTTTTTGTTTTGTTTTGTTTTGTTGCTGTGGCTGAGTGGTTAAAGCAGTCATCCTCTAATGCAAAAGTTGGGGGTTCGAATCCACCAGCAGTCACATGTCGAAGTGTCCCTGGGCAAGACACTGAACCCCTCATTGCCTCCGATGTGTGTCCCATCGGAGTATGAATGTGATAAAGCTCTGATTAGTCTCCTTAAGAATGATTTGTTCAATTAGCTTTGTATAGATCTAGTAGAGTGTTGTATGAATGGGTAAATGAGGCACAGATTGTAGTGTAAAGCGCTTTGAGTATCTCAATAAGATAGAAGGGCGCTGTATAAGTACAGTTCATTTTGTTCTAGGTGGCGCAGAGGGAAGGACTGTGAGTAAAGGGAGCAACTTTATCCACCACAAGATGGAATGGTGGAGCCAGGGGGTGTCTAATGGAGGCCAGGGCCACCACAGATTAAACTTTAGCCACCCCAAAGGGCAACTGCAATCATTTGAGGAAAATATACTTTTCAGCAATATAAAAACTAGTAAGCATAGTTTCCTTAAATGAAAGGAGAGGCCGGTTTACACCCCCCCCCCCACACACACACACACATACATATGATGGTATCCATCTTAGATTTTGACGTGGAGACCAAATTTTCAAACTTTTTTATGCCTAGATGCACTCACACATCAATATGGAAGTTGGTACTCCACTTATTTCTCAAGTTATTGCCCTCACAACATTCATGGAAGGACAGAGGGCGTTTCCATTGACCCTTTTCACTTTGCAATGGGGAACAATTGCCAAATGTTTTTTGAGTTCACTCCCTGCAGAAGGGAGCAGCTGAAAGAACAACAATGCAACTACTAAAGTGCTCGGAGTATATTAGCAGAGGCCTGTCACAGAGAGGGAAATCATGTCGTTTTTGTTTTTTGAAGGTTGTGAATAGAGTGTGTCCTCCTTTAGTGATGAAAAATGTCTTTGACGTTCCCACATCAGTCTGTGTGCAACACGACAATGTGCAAATATGTTCCACTGCTCAAGAGCTACACAAAAAAGGTGCTGAACTTATTTTGTTGCATATATTCTGTAATCCTTATGGGCATCTTTCACTAAACTGCGATTTGCTAATTAGGTTGCTCCTCCCCCTCTACAGGGTCAATGTAGACAGAAGTACACACAACCTGTGGTGCTCCTTGGCAACTGTAGGTGGAGTCACAGCACAAAGAATGCACACTTACAAAATACATTTGTTACCAGCAGAAAAACCCTGTCTCCAGGAAAAATTAAGAGAATTTAGCAAAAAATGAAACCAGCAGAATTGCTATTCCTGAGCTGCCATTGGGCTGACTGCTGCAAATTAAAGCGTACGATGGGCGGTGATGCAGCAGCATCCCCAGACAATACACACCAAGGAAGGTCAAGCCTAAACAATCTGTGTCCTCTGTTTGGTTTGAGTCTGTGTAGAGTTGAGAGTGCTCCACGCATGAATCCATTCAGTCTGTTATTAGCCTGGTCTCAAACACTAAATAAATATTTAAACCATTTGTGGGCAAACGTCCAAAAAGAGTAGAGCTTCCCTTTTAGGATGCAAAGACGATGTTATTCTCTCTTAATAACAGTTAATTTTCACTAATAATCAACCCAGTGCAGCTAAATTATTCAATTCACACATATATTTCACACTTTATTGCTGTTATGTATTAAACGTTTTGGATTCTCAGACAGATTCTGCCACATTCTGACATATCATGGCCATTTCTTTCAGTAATTTTGTCTTTACTTTCCCTCTTGACTGTTTAAGTACTCTAAAGCAGGCTCATGATGCCACTGTTTTCCACTTTAATGCCCCACCTCTTAGCCTCTGTTCATAATCATTTACTTGTCTCCTTTCCATTTGCAGCTGTCAGAATTAAACTGTACATAATAGCTGCCTTCACGTCTCTGAGTTCTGGCTGCTGCTAACCCCAAATCAACACTCCTGCTTCTAAGTAACGTTTCGTTGCAATTGTTGGGCAAATTGTTTGTTTTGAAAATGTGAAATCAAACAGCCTGATGTGAAAGAAAGAGCATCTGATTGGCTTCCAGCGTTCCCTTTGTTGATTTGAATTAAGTTGAAAAGAGGACAAGAGTGAATTTGCGCACGCGCGTGCATGCAAACGGTGTTCACACGCGTCTGTCGCTGCTCGTGCGTTTCAGCGAGCTCCTCTCGTGGCGTTAAACAGCAGTTGCTGGTTAACTTTTTATCTGTGAGTCGCTGCACAAACCAGACAAGAGCTGGGTAACAATTAAAAGCCATTTCCTTCAGCAAGCTTCTAATGGTGTGCTTGATTAGGAAGGACACTTTTCCCTAAAGATGGGAGGCTGTGCGTTCAGTCAAGGGAAGTCATTATTGACAACTATTGAGTGATCTACAGTTGTGAGGGAGGGGAAAAAGCTGGATGTTTAAATGAAGCAGACAAGCTGATCGATGCTATTTATAACAGAAAGAAACTAACACCCTGTTTTGGGTTAAAATATCCCCTCAGATGTATTTTATGAACTCAGTCTGCTTTATTGTGGTGTCTGTAATTTATTATGATTTTTATTTCAGTTGCGTTTGCTTGTAGAGCAACAAGAAAAATTTTTTGACAGCAACATGGCAAAGGCTAAAAAGCATCCAAAGCTTGGGTTGTGGCAGAAATAATTAAATAATGCTACATATATTGTATTTCTGTTACTACTTTATAGAACAAACCACCTATATAATTAAATATTGTGCAGCTTGATGTTTGACTAAAACTTGAGTACAGTAGTCCCTCGCTATTTTGCAGTTCGACTTTTGCGGGCTCGCTCTTGTGTGGTTTTTCAACGGTTGTCAACTTTAATATTACTCACGTGATTGGGACGATACGGGATAAAATGTTAACGAAAAAATAAACTTCGGGCAGGTGTCACCCTTTTTTTAGTTTTCTTTCAGTAAGCCTACACTGTAACGCCAGTCAAAAGAACTACCGTATTTTTCAGACGATAAGGTGCACTTAAAATCCTTTAATTTTCTCAAAATTCGACAGTGAGCCTTATAATCTGGTGCGCCTTATGTATTAATTCTGGTTGTGCTTACTGACTTCGAACCGATTTTATGTGGTACACGGAGCTAAAAAAACCCACAGGAAGTGTTCCTGTGGTGGTTTTGTTTTGCTTAATGCGCCTTATAATCAGGTGTGGCTTATAGTCCGAAAAAAACGGTACACTACCCAGAAGCCAACAGTGCTGTTTTCTGCCGAAATGGAGGGAAAGTTTTGCAACAAAAAGTCAGAAGTAACGATCTATCTATTAAGCTCACAGAACTGACAACAAGGTTGCAAATAATCCTGAAGCTCAATTATCCACGCACATATTAACCTGGACGGGGCAGTGGGCTTTGTCACTGCAGGGTAGGTCTGTTCAGAACTTTGCAAGGGTATGGGAAGGGTTTATAAAGCCTTTAAATATACATAAATACTAAACTAAATATAGCATTCATGATTTTACACCTATTGTGAGAGTGTCTGGAACGTAACCCCTACGATAATAGAGAGACTACTGTAGTTTAATATTGCATGTCAGGTCAAATGATAATGTCTTTTATTTGGCCTAAATTATTATTTATTTTGACAAAGGACCTTAATTTACTTTAACTTAATTTTAAAAACCTTAAACACTGTTAGTTATAAAGTTAAGTATACTAATGTTCTTAATTTCAACAACCCTCAAAAGCTTTAAGGACGATCTGGACAGCTTGCTTTACTTGATCCTGTTTCTTTGCACAAGATGTTTAGTATAAAAATAATTAAAGCCTGAGTAAACAACTGTATAATAATCAAGTTTTTTTGGGGAATATTATGCGTGACAGTGGCACTGATGTGGCTGATGTTTTATGGATCCTGAACTGTAGATCAGGATTTTGAGTTTATCTACATATCCAAACCACATGTCAGCGTCGTCTAAATATGTTGTTTTTTACGCCTTGAAGGACTACATCTAAGGCGAGAAGCAGAGCAGGAGAAGTTGAAGAGAGCAGCAGCCACACAGAACATGGACAGAGCGTTTACCTGGCCCTGTGCTCTGTGGGTACGCCAAGTAGCCGCCTCTTCCACGGGCCCCCCTACCTGAGCCACGCACTGCTGCTACCGCCGCCGCTGCCACCGGTCCATATGCCGTCGCTGGGAAGCCTGCAGGCACATATACACACACATACACACACACATCACTTCCTGCACATGGACGAGCACATCCCAAAGCTACAGGAGCATGTTGATACCTGCGCTGAGCTGCGGGATGAAAACTATAGCTGCTGGAGCCGAGGGCTCATGTCAGGGAGAAATCTATTGGCAGGCACCTTGGTGACATTCAAAAGCCTTTTGCACAAGTTAAAATATGAGCAGTGGGGTCCTTAAACTCTTCAGTGATTGGATGAAAGAATCATACAGGCAACACATGTGGATTTACATAAAAATGCAGCTCATAAACCTTTTCTCCCCCTCCATAGATTAAAAAAAATGTTTCTGAAAAGGAAAAACTGTTCTCTATAGCATAAAAGCGTGAGCAAACTGACTGGAGCTTCTGATTGCAATAATAAAAGAGTTTGGCTCTGAGGCTGTTGATGTCACATGCTTCAGATAAAAGATTATAGACACTTTTGAGCTGCACAGACGTGGCCATAATAGCCCTACCTCCGGGGACCATGGCTGCATTTTGTTCCGAGTGCTCCCAATTACCGTGAGTTTCAATGGCGTCGGAATAATCCAGTGTAATGCATTCCACACTTTATGTTGGGCTTTTCAGGTGAGACATATAAAGCCATAGAAAAATATTTTCCACAATCAGATAGGAGGCATCTTTCTGAAGATTTTGTCACACAGGGAAGCTTAACATCTGTGAGCTTATAGGAAAACTGTATATGTCGCTATTTTTTATTTATTTAAAGCACTCAAATGATAAGATTGTTGAAGCTTCAAAGTTTGTTTATATGTACAATCATAAATCAGTCCTAAATTGTCAGTTTTACTTGTGAATTAGAGGGCTTTTATTCCACACAAATATAAATCCACTTTAAAAGCCTCTGATAATTCCAACAAATATCAGCCCAATAATCAGACTGTAATTAAGCCAAAGCAGTATCTGTGAATTGTAATTACATAGTTGGCCTTAATGAACACAGCCGCTAGAGGTGGCTGAGAGAGGCTAGCCCATGCCCAGGGCTCGTGCTTCTCTCTCAGCACAGGAATGGCATGTCATTAGTAGTGATGATGAGATTCCTCACTCTGGGCTCAACACCGTCTATGCCTAATCAGCCTCCTAAAATTATCTCCACAGGAACTGCTTTCCACACTAGCAAAAAAAAAAAAAAAAAAAAATCTCCAAATTTCCTCAGTTGAGGTTTTTCTTGATATATATATATGTGTGTGTGTGTATTTTTTTTTCTCAGTTAAGTGTGTGCACATGGGCGTTTCTTCTGTGCCTGGGCTGTATCGTGGTTTAGGCGTTTCAAAAATGGCACAGGACACCTTTGGGGATTATTTTTCTGAATGCTGTGGAGGTGAGAGGAGCACCAGCAGGTGACCTATTTTCTGAGCCAGCTTTGTTCTGCTACGGCACGGAGAAGAGAGGCTCGCACAAAAGACCAATGAGACGGAGGAGAAGGAGTGGGGGGGAGGAGGTGAGAGGGCAGGGTCAGATGAGCGGCAGTCGAAGAGACAAACACATAGCTTTTCATCAAGCAGCTGAGAAGGAGGTAATTCACAACTCCGCCAACACAATATGGCCATGAATGCGCGTGTTGGGTGTGAGGCGCCGTCATGCTGCGACTGGCAGGGAGGTGAAGAATAGAAAGAAATGCCACTTTCCCAACTGACTAACGGCTCAGGAGAAAATAAGAGACCGGGGTGGCAGCAAAAAAAAGTACGAACAAAAGTCAGCAAAAAGGCGACTAAAATCGGTCCTTTATGTGGTGCTGCAACTGAATCCAAACCAGTGTCCAAAAGCTCAAATGATATTCTTGGTTGGTTGATTCCACAAGAGAGGAGCCTGATAACTGAAAGATCTTCCTCTCATTCTGCTTTTGGAAACTCTAGGAATCACAAGTAAACCTGCAGTCAGAGAGCGAGTGCTCTGTTAGGAAAATATGGAACAATAAGATCTGTAATATAAGATGGAGCTAGGGTGTTGAGAGCTTTGTAGGTTAGAAGTAAGATGTTAAATTCAATTCTGGACTTGACAGGGAGCCAAAGGAGGGATGCTAAAACTGGAGAGATATGATATTTCCAGTAACTCCAGTTAAGACTCTGGCAGCAGCATTTTAGATCAGCTGAAGACTTTTTAAATAAATATTTTGGACACCAGATAACAAACCTTTGCAATAGGACATAATCAGGACATAATTACATGCAGTGTACCCTCAGTGCGGACCGAACTAGGCAAAGGGTCTTCTCCTACTCTGCTCTTGTGTCCTGGAACACCTTGAAAAAAGATCTGAAGCTCTCGACCTTGACCTCTCTAAGGGTCTTTAAACAACGGCTAAGTTCATGGCAAAAACCAACACAGACACGTTCCTGCGTTTAGTTTTATACATCGCTTTACAATGTAGCTGTTTTTGTTTAGTTTTTATACCATTTCTTCTATTCACAGTACTTTTCATTTTATATGCTATTTATATGATTGTCTATTGTTGTCTGTACCTCACATGTGCTCTTTATTCAAATCAGGTCTCTCTTGTAAATGAGTCCTCGAGGCTCGATGAGACTAACCTGTATAAATAAAGGTTGAATTAATTTTTTACCTCCTTTCACAAAAGGAGACCAAAAAAACCCCAAAACAAATCAACACCGCTGCTGTCTCAGTGCTGGCCATACACCCTTGCATTTCCCCAACAGAGTCCCCATGTTGCCTCGCAGAACAGCGTCCTCTTCCCCCAACTCCTTCTTTTCCTAAGTGCTGAATCTATCTTCCCCTCACCGCCTTTGTCATGACACCCCCAGTAGACCCGCTGGCTTGGAAGTTAGTTGCGGGCAAAGTTGTGGTGAGAGATTAACTTTGCAGGATTAGGTGGGTTAATTAATAGATGGCTGCTGCTCATTGTTTTGTGCTCACGCTGTAAGAAGCCACCCAAGAGAAGCGCTGCAGCATTAAATCAATTTCATGGCCCTTTTATTACTGAGGAGATAAAGCCAATATTTAGCTTTCAATTCTTCACAATTATTGGGCCCCTGCTTTTCCATGAGTGGCTGCGCTTGGCTGGGGACAAGGACACATCTGTTTATGAGCTGTGGAGGCTCGAGGCCCTTGGTGTTCGGACTCCAGGGAACTGTCCTCAGCTTTTCTTCCTCGAGCCTGTAGCACACAAATTCAGCCTTCCTCGGGAGTATGTAAACAGAAGGGGAAGGATGATTAAACGAATGACCAAGGCAGCTGAAACGTTCCCATCCGTTTTGAGCAAACGGATACCAGCTTGTCCACAAAACACCACTGGATTTATTTTCACCAAATCTAAAACAAACTTTAAAAAAGCTTAAAAATTCAGATAGCATAGGAAACACACAAGTCTATTTTTATGACAGTACATAACACATACTGGCCCTTTATGCTTACAAAGTGGTATTTTTCTAAGGTGCACACCAGTTCCTTTCTCCACCTGCACCTATATTTTAGAAGTCTCTGTGAACTTGACTGTAGTGAAGTAGGAGGAGAGACACAGTAGGGGCAGTGTCAGTAATGATCAAACAGCACAGTGCAATTTTTGTGTCAAGGCTTCCTAGGATTTTTTTTGCCTGTGCCAGACTGGGTCAAAAGCTTTGTTTTCTCCATTACAAAGCTGTCAAAGCACTTTAGCAGCAAAACGATATTCAGCGGAGTAGAGAAAACGAGGCGGTGTACTGCTCGAATTAATTCCAGCCTCTATCATAACGACGAGGATGGCTTCTAACATTACCGTGTTTTCAGCCTTACCTTCTGACAGCAAAATTGCCAAATGCCAGTTCCAGCACGCGTGCTCTCGATTATTTTAACTTGTGCAAATAAACCCTCACAACTCCGCACATTATTGGCATTCTGAAATTTCTCCCTGTGCAATTTTTTTAAAAACAGATCTTTTCTGGCAAACTGCCTTTTTAGCTGCAGACTCGCTCTCGAGTTCTATTACCGAGACAACGTCAAGTTGAAAAGTTGTTGCATTATGCATCAATAAGGTCCTATTTATGTCCTACTAGTCTGACAACAGCTTGACTGATGTTAATGTAATCTGTACTGTTCTTTGGCCCCAAACTGCCAGCAGCAGCTCCCCTGTCATTGACAAAGGAGCTCCATCAGTCACAGAGCACTCCCCTCATTTCTGCTATAAGGAGACTGTCAGACGTCTAATGCACAGGACGAGCCTGAGGACAGAAGACATGTCCACCGAGGCCATATGGATCAAAAATGTTCCAATATGAATATATAATTAAAGCAAAAAAGATCAGAACCTGGAGCTAGACTTAAAAGAAATCATCCATGTAGAATGACCACTGTGTGTAAAGAGTGCCAGCTTTTTGAAAATTTCACCAAGATTATTGTAGATCTAATTAAAAACATATGTTCATAATCTAAATGAAAAAAGAAAAAACTAATTATATAGACAGTCATGCTCATTATGATTGCTATTGGATTGTTGTTAAAAAGGGTTGACGTGCTGGCAAGCAAACATTTCGAGCAAAGCTGCTTAACGCAGCAGCTTGGTTTTGGAAAAAAGAGGCTGGTGAACAAGCTTTTCAGCCTGCAGCTACAGTCGATTGTGAGGGCACGGCAGAAAGAGTGAGACAGATAAACAGAGAAGAACAAGCAGAGCGAGCAGACGAGGAAGATGAGAGCGGACAAGTGAGGAGAGAAATAAGATAATGAGAAACAGTGGCCAGGACACAGGTGTCCAAATCATTTTCACGGAATGACAGAATAATGTGGTTTGGAATAGGAAAATAAATAAAAAAGTGCCACAAAACAAGATCGTATTATACAATATGAGCCTTTACATTGAAGGAACACAGAAGCAGAATTTTACTATAATTTTTTGCTCGTAAAAATTTCAAAAACAACACAAACTATTTTATTTAAATTATTACAAAAGAGCATTTTTAATGGGGTTGGTACATAAAGGAGTTTAAATTCAATTCAGTTTATTTGTATGTTGCCACTTCACAACAAA